TTTGAAAAAGTGACATTTTTGTAAAGATTTCAAAAGTGTGGTATTTTTGTAAAGTGGCACTTGAAAAGAGGCTTTTCTTGAAATTTCTCAAAAATTATACCAATCAAGGCCTTATAATACCTCTTCATATATGTATAATACCTCTTCATATATGTAATTAGAGCTAAAAATCTGTGCATACAAAATTCTCCTATACTTTTTATTATAGCATTATTCCTCTTAAACTGTTATTATATTAACTAAAATATTATTAGTTTCCGGTCAATACTCCTCCCCACTCTCGAACCAATCAACACAACCATTTGCTTAAAATCGTAGTATTAAAATCAAATTTCTGTTCGACCACCTTCTTTTGTTAAAGGCTATTCGACCACCTTAGTAAAATATGTAGCTTTTTTGGTTTATAACTTATACACTCCCGGCCCGTTACTAAATCTAAATTCGTAACCATGATGCTACAAATCTGTTAGAATATTTAGATTTTAATATTTGATATTTAAAGAGTTGTATATCATGCATGTATGTGTAGGTCAACAGGTGATCCTTGGAACATGCTTGGGGAGAAAATGCTCAACCACGTGTCAACGCATGTCCACTCGTGACCCATATAAATCACCCTATGGTATTATAAACATATATAAAATGCTTTTATATTCTTACAACAGAGAGTTATTATTATTATTTTGTAATTGTATCCGTGTGTATATATAATTGTAAATGAGTGAGACATAAATATAATCCAACTAACTCACCAGCATAATCCAAACCGAAATAGCTTCTAGAGAAAAAACAGAAAAGGGTAGACTTTTTACTATCTAACACTCAAAATGTGTGCACTTGTCCCTCCATTGTTCCCAAATTTTGGCTGGCCTTGCGGAGATCATAGCTTCTATGAAAATGAAGACGTAATCAACACATTTCTTGATTTACCGTTGCCGGACTTGACGGTGGCTCATCAGAATGTGTCGTCGGATAATAGTAAAATATTAGAGTTAAATCAGAATCCCGTCGTGATGAAGAAGCTTAACCACAACGCGAGCGAACGTGATCGTCGTAGGAAGATCAACACAATGTTCTCATCTCTCCGTTCTTGTCTTCCGGCCACCGACCAATCGGTAAGCATTAAGGCCTATTATGTTTCAAACGTACCTTATGCGTTTGTGTTTATATACAAATTTTAAAAAATTCAAATTCTTGAAATATTTGATTTCTATATATTATTTTAAATTTATATCGTTGCATTTACGCTTACGTTTGGCATTTATGTTTACAACTAATTAACAAATAAATTTTGGTTAATATAGGTTGTAGATTCATTCGGAACAAAAAAAATATGTAAAAGCAACACAACCCATTGATGTCTAACTCGCATTTCGTTACATTTTTCTATTTAGAATTCTAGAAAATGATTCTATTT